CGCGCGTTTTTAAATTTTCTTGCAAATTTAATTTGTGTATTATCTTGATTTGACTACCAATTTTGCTTTAAATATCGAGTAATAATGTCAGAAATGGAAAATGAAGATACTGATGCAGATAATAGCACTCAATTTAGTAAACCAAAGAAAAGAAAAAAGGGCCAAAACTTAGAAAGTGATCAAAAAAATTTATACAAGCCTTTTGTCAAAAACAATTATAAAAGACGATTTGCAGAAAATGCTGGGCAGGCGGAATTTATAGTTTACCTAGAAAGCGTTACTAATGAGAAAATTGGAAACAAAAATCCATTTTATTTGACAAAAATTCTTCAAAGAGATATCAAAGGAATAAAACGATTAAACAGAATAAACGCACATAAGATAGGGGTCATATTTGGACAACCAAACACAGCCAATAATTTTCTTAATGCAGAGGATTTTCTAACGCGACATAACTTCAAGGCATATATTTCAGCTCAGTCAGTTGAGAAAATTGGTGTCATAAGGTATATACCAAAAGAAATTTCTAATGAAGAATTGTACAAACAGCTCTCATCACCATATGAAATATTATCTGTGAGACGATTTCAGAAAAAGGTAAATGGGGAATTAACTCCAACAGAGACTGTAAGTGTTACTTTTTTAAGTACTATTTTACCAGACTTCGTGTATTTAAATCTCTGGCGATACAAGGTCCACCAATACACACCACCCTTGCTACAATGCTTTAAGTGCTTTAAATTTAATCATTCAGCAAAAATATGCAATCAAACACAAAAATGTTCAATTTGTAGTGGAGATCATTTCTATAAAGAATGTAATATGCCTGAAAATATTAAGTGTATCAACTGTGGAGGGTCTCATTTATCTATCTCAGCAACATGTCCAATAAAAATTAAGAAAAATTTAGAAAAAAAGAATAAACAGACATATGCTGCAGCTGTGATCAATGACTCTTCTTATACACAAAGTAAAGATAATTTTCCAGCTTTGAAAAATAAAGAAAATAATATTGTAAATAATAAGATAGAGGTTAATAATAAAAGTTTTATTGACATTGTAAATAATCCCTTAATAATAAATGCACTCATTCAAACATTAGTAGAATTAGGAAATAAAAAGGATGATGCACCTTTGACAACCAAAAGAATTAAAGACGTTCTTTCATCAAAATTATCTAAATAATGGCCTGTACAAATGAACAAAATATCATTATTGCTCAACATAACATACAAAGTCTCTTGAGTAAAAAAGCATTAGTGAATTCTTTTCTAGAAACTAATAATATAGATATATGCTTACTTAATGAAACATGGTTAACAGACAAACATGACAATATTAGATTCATAAATTATCAAACCCACTTTAGAAATGCTTCTAATTCTCATGGTGGGGTAGGTATTCTTGTAAAAAATAATTTGAAATACAAACTTCTTAGTACTCCTTTTTATGAACAAATGCAAAATGTAGCAATTTCTTTAACAGTAAACACTGGTACCATTACAGTTTTATGTATTTATGCTCCTCCTAGATACACTAGGTTTGATATTAGCAGCCTTAATAACATAATTCAGTCTCTACCAAAACCTATACTTATAGCAGGTGATTTTAACAGTCATCATATTGCCTTTGGTTGTCTGGACATTAATAGTAGGGGACAAGCCTTATACAATTGGTTAGATGATAATAACTTATGCATACTTAATACTGGCGATTATACAACAATTAATCGACCACATCAAAATCCGTCAGCCATAGATATCTTCTTAGTGAGCCCGAATTTAGCCCCCCTCTGTGAATGGAGAGTACATGATGACCCTCTGGGCAGTTATCACCTGCCTACCATAGTGGAGTTGACAATAGATGCTCCAAAATATATGTCAGTGCAATATGAAGATAAATTCCTTTATAATAAGGCAAACTGGGTAGAATTTTATTTAAAATCCGAAACAGCATTTAACATTATTGATTTTGATGAAAACAACCCTTTAACTTTATATAATTTGTTCACCGAAATATTAAGTAATTTAAGAAATCAATATGTACCAAAAAAATCGGCATCCAAACATATGATCAAAACTAAACTTCCAGCTCCATGGTGGAATCAAACATGTCAACTAGCAGTAGAAAAAACAAAACAATCTTTAAAACAGTATAGAAATCAACCAACTCTAGAAAATTATATCAATTATAAAAAAACAGATGCCCAAAAAAAAAAAGTTATTAGTGAACAGAAACGGCTGAATTGGTTGAAACTATGTGAATCTTTCAATAGAACAACACCTTTAAGTAAAATCTGGAAAATGATAAAAAAGTTCAAAAGAGCTAAAGTCTATAGTAACTACTCCAAAAATGATGAATTTATACCAGAATTTCTAAACAAATATGCACACATTAATAATATAAATTTAGATAACTTACAAACTTATTTTAACAATAATAATAATAATTCAGAATCTATGTTTATAATTGAGCCATTCACACATACTGAATTAATTAATAGTCTCTCCTCAAGACGTGATACAGCTCCTGGCATGGATGATTATCCATATATCTTACTTAAACATCTTCATAATAATGCTTTGAATATTTTATTGCAAATATTTAACACCCTCTGGAGTAAACAGTTAGTTCCAGAATCATGGAAAACTCAGTGTATAATCCCCATTTTGAAACCTGATAAAGTACCCTCAGATTATAATTCATATAGGCCCATTTCTCTCACTTCATGTATAGGCAAACTCTTCGAACTTATGTTGAAGAACAGACTTGAGTGGTATGTTGAGCATTATGGTATAATTCCAACTGTGCAATATGGCTTCCGGAGAGGGCGTAGCTCAGCAGATAGTTTTACAATATTACTTTCTGATCTGAAACGTGCAAAAGCAAGTGGTAAATTAAATGTTGTTTGTAGTTTTCTGGATGTCAAAGGTGCATTTGATAATATTGATTTAGAAAAGCTAATAAACATATTACAGGAATTGAAAATTCCTGGCCATGTTAGTAAATGGATATTCAATTACTTATATAATAGACAAGTATATGTAAAATTTAACAATCGTCTTTATGGCCCAAAATATGCACAAAAAGGTACAACTCAAGGTGGAACCTTATCGCCATTACTGTATAATATATATACTAGCCAAATTTTACAATATGTAACACAAGAAAATATAGAAATATTACAGTTTGCAGATGACTTAGTTATTTATTGTGTTGATGAAAATATAAACACTGCTATACATTACCTTAATTCAGCATTACACCAATTACACCACTTCTATAAGAACATTTTAGGTCTTGATATAAATCCAGAAAAAAGTTCCATCTTAGTTGTAAATAATAGTACATCTGTAAATAGTAATATTCAATATAACAATGTAAATATACCTCATGTAAATGAAAAAAAATTTTTAGGTGTAGTGATTGATTGTAAATTAAATTTTCAAAGTCATATTAATTATATCCTTATGAATGCTCACAAAGCTGTAAATATATTAAGATGCTTAGCAGGAATTACATGGGGTGCTGATCCTAAGATTTTAAGTCTTTTGTATAAAAGTTTAGTAAGATCTCATTTTGACTACAGCTGTTTAGCATACTATGAAGTGAATCCACACCTACTTAGGAAGCTGGATGTCTTACAAAATAAATGCTTAAGACTTATAACAGGAGCAATGTGTTCAACACCAATAAGATCTATGGAAGTAGAAACAAAAATAATGCCTTTAGCTATACGTAGAATGTTAATAGCAGAAAGATTCTGTCTTAAAAATATATACTTACAAAATCAAAAATTAATTGAAAAATTAACAATCCCTGGCTATACAGGTGAAGCTAGTAATGCAGTGTATGTTTCTGCTCTTAATATACATAATAATAAACCACCTAATCTAATAAGGATAATGAATCACATGATATTATTATTCCCAAATTTAAATAAGCATCTGTTATTACCATATTATAAATATGAGTACAAAATTAATTTACAAAACATTTTATTTGATAGAGCAAATGATAAATTTTCTTTCTTAGAATTATTACAGAAATATAGAGATTATATAATAATTTATACAGATGGTAGTAAAACTACAGATAAAGTTAAATGTGCACTGTATGATTCAGTATCAAAGATTACTATAACTTATGAAATTGATAATAAAAGCAGTGTATTTTCTGCTGAATGTTATGCTATTCTCAAAGCTTTAATTTATATTCAAAATAAATATGTAGATAAAACTTTATCTAAGTTTATGATCGTCACAGATTCTCTTAGTGCACTTACTAAATTAGAAAATGTAAGTAGGCACTATAAGGATAATTATTTAATACAACATATTAGATATCAGTTAAATATGATTGGAAAAAATATTACTTTTACTTGGGTTCGTTCTCATGTAGGAATTCAAGGGAATGAAATTGTTGATAAAGCTACTCATAGTGAACTCTGTACATTAGATTTAAGTTACGAACTTCATCTAAACGATTGCCAATCTTATATTAGAGGTAAGGTAATGGAGTTATGGGAAGAATTTTGGATATTGGATAAGTGCGAAAAAGGAAGATGGTACGGAGGTATACAGAAGACCATACCTAAAACACCATGGTATATACCTTTTAGAGCTGTTAATAGAGAATTTTATAGCACCATCAACCGATTGCGGTTAGGACACTGCCGAATCCCAGCAACTTTGTTTAAAATAAAACTGACTGAAAGCAACATCTGTCAATATTGTCAACTAAACGAAATTGCAGATCTTGAACACCTCGTTCTGAAATGTCCAAATTTCGCTATGCAACGCCTAATATTAGCAACAAATATAGGAAAAACTGTGAAAGATGTACCCCGCCAATTACAAGATTTATTGCAGATCCCAGAAATATATAGATACTTATACAGATATATAAAGGAAACGCTTGTAAATATATAAATTATCTCAATATGAAGACACGGCTGAAGGCCAAGGTAAATTACGGCAAGATTATATTTTCTCCTCTAATAATATATCTCTACCAGAGGTTTCGCTTTTTACTCGTGATATAATAAAATTATATCACCATGAGTTATATGCTTGGACATTTACATAATGGCTGGCAAGTTGATCAAGCCATATTATCTGAAGAAGATCGTGTGGTGGTAAGTAATATTGTCGTAATGAAAATTCTAGCTAGATCATTATTGTGCTATTGAGCAAAGACTAGTACACTATTAGACAAACTTTTTGCTAATATATAGAACTATTTGCTAATGAGTCTTAGTTTTAATTATGTATAGAACAGTTAACTTCATTCTCATTTGTCAAAGACTTCTTAGCATTTGTTATAATCTTTAGGTTTACTGTATAATACAATTAAATTAGACTACCCTTACCAGTATGATTTGCACCACATGCTATGCTAATTAAAATGCAAGTTATACTAAAAACTTGTAGGTATAAGTTTGGTGTAAGTTTCTTTCAATAATGTAAATTTGAAAGTCTATCAGTATTTTTGTTTTAAAATATTAACTTTAAATACTTGAGCTCAACATATGTGATGCTGTCTAATATTTATTATATCCTAAATAGAGTATTTACTCTTTGAAAACTTATTTCAGGTCATCAGATTTGGGCATGATTGGGATCCAACTTGCATGAAAATGGATGAAGTCCTGTATAGTATAGCAGAAAAAGTTAAAAATTTTGCTGTGATATATCTTGTGGATATTACTGAAGTACCAGATTTTAATAAAATGTAAATAATTCTGTATGATAAATAGCAAAAACATGTGCAAAGTAGGTATGTTGTTAACTGAAACACTATTTTTGCAGGTATGAATTATATGATCCATGCACAGTGATGTTCTTCTTTCGCAATAAACACATAATGATTGATCTTGGTACAGGCAACAACAACAAAATTAACTGGCCACTGGAAGATAAGCAAGAAATGATTGACATTATAGAGACTGTATACCGTGGAGCCCGCAAGGGGCGTGGTCTAGTTGTCTCACCCAAAGATTATTCTACTAAGTATAGATATTGAAGACATTATTGGTATTTTATTGAATTACTTCATGATCGAATAATCTCCGATATGGGTATATACTTAATCAGTATTGAGGATCAGCGACCAGCAGCATATTTCAAACAAGTGTGATTTGAATTGACAAAAATAAATATGTAAGTAAATGATATATTCTCTTTATTTTCAAGTACCTACCTCTAAGACAAAAACCAACTTTAGAATGATTGTGTCTAAAGCCTAATACAGTTTTATCATCTGTCTGCACCACCATCTTGAATTTTAGTGGCGTAGTGTTTCTTAGCGGGGCCCCATATAAAATTTGTTTGGGGGCCCTTATGTAGGGTAATTGTATAAACTGTACGAATTTTAATCATATATAGGTACATCGATTATTATGGGATTTCCCCGTTAAAGTCTGACTTAAACAGAGATATCCCGCAGCCCACGAAATCGGTTGTAGGGTATTGCTAACTTTGAAACGCACACTCTACATGGGAAAAAGAAATTGCTTTTTTAACTTTTGTCATTTCGGAAAAAAAAAGAAATTTGGGAAGTTATTATTAATTTTTCATTATGCAGGTTGGAGGCCCCGTATAATTGATACGGCATATACGCGGTAGCTACGTCTGTTGAATTTGTAAACTGATTAGGACAAATTGCCTTGGCACATACGAATCTGAGGTCTGACGTCACTAGATCAAAAATATGGCATGTAACTCATTGGCAGTGCCTGTGATTATTTTGAAAAGTAGTCAAATACCTGAATTCATTAATTGATAAATACTTTTACAAGTTCTTACTAAGAAATCAAAAATTTTAAATTTAATGGCAGCTTGCATCTAATGTTTAAAATTTTTTTTGGCTTGCCGTCTTTTATTGACAAACTAAAAGAGTTTGCTCAAGAGTTCATCACAAGTTTTGGTAGCATAAATACTACGAAAATTTGTGATGAACTCTGGAGAATAACTTTCTCAAACATCGTTAAATAAGAATATATATTATTGTATATGACTGTATGATTCCATAAAATAGTTAATATAGATTCCATAAGTTGGAAAGGTTGTATATGGGAACATATACAACCTTTCAAACCTTTTCATGTGTAATGTGTAAGTTTTGCTTGATGGCACAGTGGTAAGCACATTCGCTCAGCAATGTGAAAGTTAAGCAATTTTGCAAGGTCCAGTTATAGGATGGGTGTCCAAAAATTTTGCTCAAACCCCCTTCAAGCTTTGGAAGGCATATTAAGTTATTGTTTTAGCCACATCTGCAGTCATTAACATCCCACCTACCAATTTACACCAAATCTGTTTCATTCATTCTCTCCATTTCCATTCTCCAAATTACATTCTATTACATCTAGAGAGAAGGCCTGTGCCTAAGAAGTGGTTATGTTAATAGGCAAATTATGATAATTAATTTCCTCATGTTGCCTGGGTCTAATATAGGGTTTAAGCGATGAGCATGACATTTGTTTTATATTATTTATTATATATATGTATTTCCAATACTATAAAAATTGTAATAATATTAGTGATAATAACTACAACAACTATATACCTATCTGTAAAATATTATTCTTTGAATGTATATGTGGCTTTTATATTATTCATTTATTATTTATGACTTGTTGATCGTATAAACTAAAAATGCCAACAATGCAAGTGCGACAGTGAAGTATCATTTCATTCAGCGAAAGTAGTATTTTGAGAATATATTTCACAAATGTAATATTATGAGAATGAAGGGGAAATAGAATGTGTTCGTTTGGTATATCTCTACCATTATTTATGTTATGTTTTTAATGTAATTTAAGAATAGACTAGGATTTGAACAGAACAGAATAATGCAATCGTCTACCTACTTTGATTTTTGTAATTATGTTAAAATTATCCATGGCTGTCGGCGAAAGACATCTTTGCATATTTACTTACTGATGTTCATTCACTCTGCTGTAAAGTCACGCCTACGCTTGCTCTGCGATTTTAATGTAATATTATAGACCTTAGATAGCAATACAGATGGAAAAAAGTACAAATAGAATATGAGTTGTTTATTGAGTTTTGAAAATTAATTTACTGTTATACATGACATGAAACAGACATCTAGTTTGGTTTGAGGAACTATTTTTTTTTAAATACTTCCTCTTTGTAATGGAGAAATCAAGAAAGTACCGTAGCGATATCTAGTTTGATTTCAAAAACTAATGTTTTTTTCAATACTCCCTCATTAGTTTTGTATAAAATTATATTAAGATCTAAATCCCTAATAGTATCGTGTCGTATATATTGTTTAACGTATTATTTTAATATCAATATTTATATTATTATTATAACTTATGAAATTCCCTACACAATCATATTTCAATGAATGAAATGGCTAATAAAACTGTTCTTGTATTAGTCGTTTTTGGGATAAGTATTACATATATACTTTAAGAAAATCTGTAGTCGCCCAAGTAGCACATAAATAATATATTAACTAAAATAAGTACCTACCGATTTATGTCCTAAAGTCATACTAACATTTTTAATCAGCACTGGTCAAGTTTCGAATCTGTTTAAGGCATTTATTTTATCTAATAATGCTTAATGCCATATTATGGTAAATAAAAAAAGTATACCAATGTCAAAACTCCTATTTAAGTATTGGGTAATATTAATATAAAGCTGTTATCATACTTCGGTGATTTGAAAAACATTATATATTATATAAGCATTAACGTAATATTATTTAGAGCACTTAGTTGTATTTAGTCATTTTCTAGAAACAGGTTTTCTAATGGCCTATGGTTGTATCGATTTAATGCTTATCCTATATACACATTGAATAAAGAACTAGTAAAACTTTAGCACCGCTCAAGCTCCTTTATCTTCTTAATCTATGCTTTTATAAAACATTAAGCTATATTTTGATCAATATTATTTATAGAGATACAAGTAATAAATAGATCGTAATTATTTTTTATGTAAAAATAAATTTGTAAAATTATTTTATGTATTGTATTGTAATGGTGGCATTTTATACGCATCGCTGGCGCCATGGACAAAAAACGTTGGGAAAAACAAAGAAAACAGGTGGATATAAAAGAAAACTGAAAAAAAAGTATTCTAATTTAATTGAAGCTTTTAAAAATCAAAATAAAAATGAAATAATCGTTTGATGATTATAAGCACTATAAGATACTTCTGAAGTGTTAAAATACGGCTGTACCTAAAATGGGAGTGTGTTATATGGTCAATTACGAGCTCCTAGTTTTGTGTCTAACCATAATACGATTAACAGCTCTACTACACTATATTTGAATATCTAATGCTTTTATTTTACGAGTCGCCATTTGCTTTCTTTTTCCAATTTTTACAAAATATTTAAAGTCAACTGTGTCAGATGAAAAGGGGTAAATAATCATTTATTTTGTGCACAGATGCCTATAAAAGCAATTATGTTGTTAAAACAATGCTAAGAAGCCTAAAATTCAACAAAAAATTTTGCTACTAGGTTAAATTTTCTATTATTTTTATTATATTAAAGGAAGTTTGCGAAGGCGCGTGTATTTTACACCATAAACTTGTATACTTTACTCCACAAACTGATGTTTGCAGCTTATTTCACACATAATGAGCTGTTTTAATCAATATTAAAAAATACTTAAAAGACCAGCCAAAAGAACATGTCATGACACTTACACAAAACTTAAACCGATTATATATTTTTAAAATCTATTAAATATACTTTTTTTACAAAGGAAATAAAACAGTAAGCATTTTTATAACATTAAATTAACGTATTATAATTTTGATTGACGCATATCAATTGTAATATAGTCACAAAAAGTTCAACTTTTTGTGGCTATTAGAATGCTTTTACCCGACTTTATTAATGCTATTATACAAAAGTTGTAGTGCTATTGCACAGCTTTTATAAAGCTTAAAGTCGTACAAAGGGGGAACCCAAATTTTACGTATAAGAGTCGTTTAAAAGAAATACGGTTGATATACGATTTTATTATAATGCTTAACGCTTGGATTCGTGCTATTATAAGTTTGATGTAATGGTGTTTTGTGCTACTTGGGCGGACCCATTTTGTAAAAAAAAAATATTTTTTGGCTTTTTATTGATGTTGATATTTCCAATAATATAGGATATATTTAAAAAATTGATTTTGAAATCAAATTAGATATCACTAGCGATGTTTGGATCTTGTCTAAAGCGGGAAATTCACTAGACAGGCATGCCCGCGGGCATGTCGGCAGACATGCCTGCCAGACCTCGTTACTATAGGTCTGTGTCATGTCTGCCTTGTGTAGGTCCGTCACAGGCAGTCTGGCAGATTGCCCGTCGCCCGTCTGTGAGATCTCATTTTGTCTGGCCGGGCACAGACAAGTCTGTAGGTGAATGCCCACCGCGGGTCAGTTATAACCCGAGCCAGACAAAAATAAAACTCATTATCATTATAGTATCGCCAACTGTACCATAAAACCATGAAGCTAATGCTAAAGTAAAAGCATTAAACACATTATACCTAGTACCGCTATCTTTTTTTATTCATTAAACTAGTCTATGGTTTTAGGCTGAATATGCATGTGAAGTTCAAACTGTGAAAAAAATTACGCATGCATAAATTACTTCCTTGTAACCTACAAACTTTATTTAATTTCAATCATGATATAAAATATCGAATTTTATACTCTACAATAAATATCTATTATCAATATATCGGAAATGAAGAAGTATTTAAAAAAATAGGTCCCAAAATCAAACTAGATGTCGCCACGGTACGTTCTTGATTTCTCCATGACAACCCTTCCGGTTTTCTTTCATGTTCAATACTTCCTCATTTTTGAAATCGCCGAAATAAATATCGATTTTAATAAATCGATATTTTTGTTTCTAAGTCTACTCCGCATGAATTTTCCGAATCGCGGGACCAACCGGAAAAAATAGACCGGTATAAAGTTAAATTCCGGACCCTAAAATTCCGGACATTGGCTAGGCTAGCATTACCTACATATGGTCTGACATAGCGGACCTGAAAATTCAGTGTAGTGCATAAACGCCCGAAGGGTTGTCATGCAGAAATCAAGAAAGTACAGTAGCGACATCTAGTTTGATTTCGAGAACTATTGTTTTTTAAGTACTTCCTCATTACATGTGTAAAAAGTGTAAATA